AGCAGCTCAAAGCGTGGAATGGCGGTTTGACCCCCCGCTGGCACACCCAAGCTGTAACACTGCATAGGCTCCTGCAACTCACTAAGGGAATTAACTGCCCACTTGTAGTTGTCTGATTTTGCCACTAGATGGTACACTGTTCGTCCTTTTGGCTTTTACCCAACGGTGCCTGGCTCATTTGGAGGGGGGACTTGTAAGAGACATTCCAAAGTCATGCCATCATGTACTCAACCAAATCAGGCTCTTTACAGCTTAGTTTTTAAATAAATATTAAGTGTTAGAGGTTTTTTATGTAAAATAAACTCTCAAGTTCTCATCTGATTGTAATGACCCTTATTACCTCTAAATAAACAGCAGGGACTAGACTATGATTTTCAAAGCTTTCAGTGTTCTGGTCAAGCTCAGTTTGTGTAGTTTCATGGATGCATCCTCACTTCCCAGGCTCTGAGCACTTAAGGTTGTGGAGACACAACCACTGCCAAGCCACTTGGGATTCAGATCTGGTCAGCCTCATGTCAGGAGACAGGAATGAAGATTCTCCTCTTCAGATGAAATCTTGGAGACTTCTCTCTCCCATCTTCTACTGGTCAAAGTTCTTGGGTGGCAGATAACCAGAAACCACCTCTGGTGAACTCAAACTGAGAAGGGATTTATTGGCAAGATCTTGGGTAGTTCACGGAGTTTATGGAAGGTTGGAGAACTGCACTCAGAACTGGGGCAGGAATTCCAGGAGGCTGAGCTGGCTGGGATCAGAGCCAGAATCAGGCCCTGGAATAGTCTGGATAGGACGTTGCTGCTGTTGCCACCACAGGGGAGGACTGGACACGGGGCACTGTCCTTGGCACTGCTGCCATTGCTGCAGTTCCTTTTCTTCAATCAGCCCGTTCATCCTCAGCACTTTTAATTTTATTTTAAAATGTCCTTGTTTGTTAGTATCAACTGCTGGAGATTTAATCGCCAGAGTGAACACACAACAGAACCTGCTACTCAAAAAGTCCTCGTGTGCAAGAGCTGGTACTCACCTGTGCCTTGTCATTGTCACGTACTATCATCATACTAGGTCTTAAAATATCAAAGTAGTCTGTTAACACCCAGGATCCATTCGCCTTCTACCCTCTAACCATCCAGCCATTAAATGGTTAATAGCAGGCACAGGGAGGGGCCTCCCAGAGAGTGCTACAACTGGTGTCTGCTCCAGTTGGTAGACATTTGTGGCAAAATGATGGTTAAATATTTTGAAGATTATCTCTGACCATGTCTATTTTAGGTCAGTTTGTAAGTAAGAGGGGCTGACACTTAGAAGTTAGTAGTTTCTATATTGAGAAATGTGAAATGTGCAAAGGGCGACCTGCATATGACAGTGATTACTCATCATGTATGAGTTGAGGTATCCTTTTTTGTTTGGTTCATAAGACATCTCCATTCATTCCTTCTCCAGCCTAAGAATGCTGTGTGCTTTGTACTTGTTTTTTAAATTAAGATGAATTAAGCTATACAAAGGAAATTGGTAAATGGATTATGGAGTGTTATTACAATGAAATACAGCCATTAAAATGATGGATATGCTGACTATGTAGAATCCTAGAAAAATGTTCATGAAGTATTTGATTTAAAAATTAGAACACAAAGCTGTCCAGATAGCATGTTTACAGCAGTGTACATGCTATTTATGTATCTAGAGGCTAGAAAGGACTCCTAAAAGAATGAAAATAGTTTCAGTTAAGATAGCTTCACAGTTGAATCAAGAAGATTTCTTCAATACTGCTTTAAAAATTGAGGAAAGGCCAGGTGCAGTGGCTCACACCTGTAATCCCAGCACTTTTAGAGACTGAGGCAGGAGGATCGCTTGAGGTCAGGAGTTGAGGCCAGCCTGGGCAATAGAGAGACCCCATCTCCAAAAAATAAAAATTTTAAAAATTAGCCACGTGTGGTGGTGCACAACTAGTCCCAGCTACTTGGGAGGCTGAGGTGGGAGGACTGCTTGAGCCCAGGAGGTTGAGGCTGTAGTGAACCGTGATCACACCAGTGCATTCCAGCCTGGGTGATAGTGCAAGATCCTGTCTCAAAAAAAAAAAAGAAAAAAATAAGGAATAAAAACCTTAACATAATACAATTGCTCATGAAAATTATTTATAAAATAAAAGCATTTGGATGGTATCACAACAACCCTTTTGATCCTGGGAGACAAACTAAGGTATCAAAAAATTAGGAACGGAAAACATGAGGACATACAGATAACAGCAGGTTGTGTGTTTCTCAATTGAAAGAACAGATGTTTCCACAGCTTAGAAAACTGGCTGTGTAGACAGCTACTGAAGGTCATAGATAGTCTCAGATGTATTTGACAGTGACAGAGGCAAAGTTACTGCTGATTTGGGCTGCAGAGATGGACTTAGGATGATTTCCTTTTCATCCCTAGCATTCTACTCTGTTAATTACAAGGACAGTAAGCAAAGCAACCATCCAGAAAGGAAATCAGTGTCCAACTTCAGCTTTTTTTTAAAAAAGAAGCTAAAGCATGTCTCCTTTTGCAGACCTTCATACCGTATCTTCACATCCCTATTACAGAATTTGTGAACGGGAGCTTTCCTCTGCATCATTGCTTCTCACACCTTAAAATGCAAAGAGAGCACCTGGAATTTTGTTAAAATGCCCATTCTGATTCAGTAGGTACAGGATGGAGTCTGAGCTTCTGCATATTCTTTACTTTTTTTTTTTTTTTGGAGATGGAGTCTCACTCTGTCACTCAGGCTGGAGTGCAGTGGCACACACGAACTAGGCTCACTGCAACTTCCGCCTCCCAGGTTCAAGCAATTCTCCAGCCTCAGCCTCCCGAGTAGCTAGGATTACAGGCACCCACCACCACACCCAGCTGATTTTGTATTTTAGTAGAGACAGGGTTTCACCATGTTGCCCAGGGTGGTCTCGAACTCCTGACCTCAGGTGAACTGCCCAACTTGGCCTTCCAAGGTGCTGGAATTATAGGCATGACTCACCACGCCTGGCCGCTTCTGCATTTTCAGTAAGCTCCCAGCTAATGCGAATGCTGCTGGCCTGTGGACCACACTTGAAGTATCAAGGTTCTGCATATCCCAAGGACTTGTTTTTCAGATTGTGTGACCTTCAGATGTGTTCAGTAAGACTTTATTAGTTGAAGTATGTACAAGACTTGTACTTTGAAAAAACTATAAAACATTACCAAGAGAAATTAAAGAAGACCTGGATAAAGGGAGAGATAGGTCATACTCATGAACTGGAAGACTCGATATTGTTAAAAATGTTAGTTTTTCACAGATTCAACACGATTCCAGTTAAAATCTGAACAGACTTTTTTTGGTGGAAATTGATAAGGTGGTTTTAAACTTTATATGAAAATGCAAAGGACCTGAAATAGCCAAAATGATTTTGGAAAAAAAACTCAAGTTGGAAGACTCACTGTATTAGGCCATTCTTGCACAGCTGTAAAGAAATACCAGATACTGGGTCATTTATAAAGAAAAGAGGTTTAATTGGCTCACAGTTCTGTAAGCTAGCTGTACGGGAAGCATGGTGCTGGCATCTGCTCGGCTTCTGGGAAGCCTCAGGAAGCTTCCCATCATGGTGCAAGGCAAAGGGGGAGCAGGAGTGTCACACGACAAGAGCATAAGTAAGGGTGGGGGAGGTGCCACATACTTTTAAATGACCAGGTCTTGTGAGAACTCGCTATTGCAAAGATAGCACCAGGCCATGAGGGATCCACCCCCATGATTCAAACACCTCCCACCAGGCCCACCTCCAACATCGGGGATTACATTTTAACATGAGATTTGGGCAGGGACAAATATCCAAACTCTATCACTCACATTGCCTGATTTCAAGGCTATGTAAAACTATAGTAATCAAGACAGTGAGTTATTAGATAAAGACAGCTCACTGAAATAGAAGAGTCCAGAAACTGACCCAGCCATCTCTAACCAGTCGCTTTTCAGAAGTGTTATGCTAAACAAGAGAAGCCAGACGCAAAGAATTACCTATACTATGATACCATTTATATAAAATCCTGGAAAAGGTAAAACAATAGTAACAGAAAGCAGATCAGTTGTTAACAGGGACCCGAGATGGTACTTGGCTGTAGAGATACACATGGGAACTTTTTGGGGTGATGGAAAGGCTGTATATTGTGATTGCAGTGGTGGTTATAGGATGTATATATTTGTCAAAACTCATCGAATTGTAAAATTAAAATGGATATATTCGGTTGTATGCAAACTATAACTCAGTAAAAGATCTAGATATATATTAGGGCATTGTCAGTACAATTTAAGCTTTCTTTGAGACCCTACTAAATTAAGGGGTTATCTATTTGAACATCAGATATTGGTTCCCACCTCCAGGTGGTAGAGCACAGTGCATAGGAATGTGGGCCAGAAAGTCAGGCTGTCTGGGTTCCAGTATCAGCTCCTCCACTGCGGCAAGCACACAGCTTCATCTGTCTGTGTCTCGGTTTCCTCATCTGTGTAAACTAACATGATATTAGTGCTTACCTCCTAGGGTTGTGAGGTCAAATGCATTAATATATTTAAAGCATTTAGAACATTTCCTTGTGCATAGTAAGCTATGTATAAGCATTCAGTATGATCAGTAAGTTCTCAAATCAGTTTGTGTCGTGATTTTACCTCTTTCTCTTAAAATGTGTTTTTTCCCTTTCCTTTACCCTCTCTTTAAACCACGTGCACTCATGTAGCTTGAGGTTTTTTTATAGAATGTTAGAGCTGAAAGGGATCTCGGATAACATTAGCATCAAGTATGGGCAACAAAACTGAAACCAGTGAGGTTGAGTGATGTGCCCAAGGTCACAGTAATATGTGGGTGACCATGAACCAGAAGCCTGGCCAGGTGACTCCTGGTTCAGCTCTGTTTTATCAAGGGTTACAGTGTTTGCATTTTTAATACTAACCATTGGGATTTATCGCGAACCTGCCATTCATCAATTGCATTGTGTGGTGTTTGTTTTTCTACAGAGCAGTTCAGAGCCCCAGTTGCAGACGACTTGTCCTGCCACCACCATGAGCTCTGGTAAGTCATTTTAAACTCATCTTTCTCTCATCTACCAGACTGGGCCGTTTACCCAGATTTCCCACGCACCCCGAAGGCCCCACTCTGGCATTATATTTTTTATTTTTTGCAAACTGGGTGAATGCCAAAGCTTTGTCATAAGTTGTCATCATGACTATCATCACCTTCATGGTTAATGATTTTTTGAGTGCCTACTACTATTGCCAAAGAACTGTGCTATACACTTTACATGCACATTAGCCCTCTCTTTATTGAGATGTAACTGGCATACTATAAACCACAGATATTTTAAGTATACAATTTGATAAAATGTGACATATGTGTACACCTCCATGGCATTTCTTAATCTGAGTGACTGCAGCAAAAGTAAACTGAGTGGCCATAATTGCCCCAGGATGTGAACTAATCTAATGCTTCTTTCATCCAGGCTAGTAGAGCAGGCTGCTCTCTCTTTTGCTTTGCCTTTGGTAGTAAAAGTCAAGACCTAAAGAAATAATCAGTTTTGAGTATTTTTAGTTTTGAGCTGAGGTAGAAAACGTGGGTTAGGGAAGACAGAGATGGGAACAGATCCCTGCTCATCATGCAGCCAAGAGCTGTCAGCTTTCCAACCCAGAATTGGAGCAGAGAAGTTTCCATCTGGAGATTAAGCCCCACCTTGGCTACTGAGCATGCCCTGGAGCCTCCTGAGACCTACAGGTGGGGCAGGCTGTGGGGTGGGAATATGACCATGTGGATATCTCATTTGGGGGTCTCCCAATCCTGCAGTATTTCGTGAGTGTTGTCAGTGACCTTTGTGGATTAAAAATCACCCTTTTCCATTTATTTGTATACAATATCCTTTTAGCCAAGTTCTGAGCAGGACAGTATGTAGTTAAGACCTAGGAAGGCTCTGGGTGGAATAGCTGAGGCCCACACCCTGACCTCTTTGCTTACTGGCTGCATAGTCTTGGGCCTGTGGTGGACCCTTCTCTGCATTTTCCTCTGCAAAATGGACATAATAAAAGCCCTAGTTCACTGGGATTTAGTGAGGATTAAGTGAGGCAATGCTTTTATTTATTTTTTTTGAGACGAGTCTCGCTCTGTCATCCAGGCTGGAGTGCAGTGGCATGATCTTGGCTCACTTCAGTCTCTGCCTCCCGAGTTCAAGTGATTTTCCTGCCTCAGCCTCCTGAGTAGCTGGGATTACGGGTGCCCACCACCACGCCTGGCTAATTTTTTTGTATTTTTAATAGAGACGGGGTTTCACCGTGTTGACCAGGCTGGTCTCGAACTCCTGACCTCAGGTGATCTGCCCCTCTCCACCACCGTGCCTGGCCTGAGGCAGTGCTTTTAAAGTGCTGGGCTCTGTGTCCAAGGCATGGCAAGGGCTTCATCTTTGGGCTCGTACTGTTATGAGTTCAGAGTTCCTCCCTGCAAAGCCGGGGACTTGGCTTCTCAGCAATTCCTTGAGTGCTTTTGCTGTGTGCGAAGAGGCCGTGCACCTTTTCCGCTCTAAGCAGGCTCAGGTACTGCCAGGAGCTCCTGCTTCATAACTCATTTTTGTCTCTTTGGCTTTTTGCTTTTGTTGTCATTTAAAATAGGCCATGGTGTTTGGCTTTATTTTGTTTTAAACTTTTTCTCTGTAGCCTAAAGCTACTTTCTCGTCCAGTGGCAGAACTGGCCTAACTTTGGTTTACTCCTCTTGGCATTAAGGGCCAGAGAAGGAGGAAGGGAGAGGCCTGGAAGAAGGGTATGGGTGTGGAAAAGCCCAGGAGACTTCTCCCCAGAATCTGTCTCTCAACGTGGGGGATTGGAAGGAGGCATTGCCTAGGAAGAGTTCAGAAACTCTGGAGCCTTTGACCCGATGATCCCACTCTTGGGAATTTCTATCTTAATTCCAAGGAAACAAAAATATCACCCACATGAAGTGGGGGGTACGAGTAAGTACGTTATGTGTATTTACTTGATGGAATATTACGCCGCTATTAAAATGGTCATTAGGAGAAAAGTAGCTACATGGGAAATATTTGTTTTAATTGCTAGTGGAAAGAGCAGTGTAAAAATGGTGGATTCTTTTTATTCCAAGTTTGGGCTGGGCTGCTAGTCACCAGGTGAAGTGCTTTACCTGTGTGATCTTGTTACATTCTCCTGGAAAACCCTCACAGGTGGGGCGTGGTTTGCCACCCTCATTACACAGATGGGAAAACTGAGGCCCTGAGGGGTCAATAATATGGCTGGGATCACTCACCTAGTGTGTGCTGTGGCTGAATCAAACTCAGGAAGCTGGACACCAACATTGTGCTGCAGAGGTTTGAGTTTCGGGAGATGGAGTTACTAATTTTTAAATACCTTTCCAAAATTTCAAGTTGGGTTGTTACATGTAATTAAAAGAAAGGAAGAACATGGGGCTGGGCCTGCTGGTAGCTCAGAGGCTGCCCCACACTAGCCTGGGGAGGCCTGGAGCAAGGCCTACAATCACAGAAGGAACTAGAGCAGGTGCTTGGATTTCTGGCCTTCTCACCAGCACCCTTCTTCCACCTATCTCAGAAATCACAGCTCAAGGAAGACTCTGACATCTAGAAGAATTAGCCTTCACCTATAGGTGGGTGTGGGCAATTAACAGGCCACAGCCTGTGAGGCCAGCATGGGGAAGTCCAGGCACCGGGTGGGGCAGTGGCCCTGCTCGTGTATGGCCACTGGCAGCATCCAGACTGGCCTGTCAGTGTGGCTTATAGCAGGTGACTCCCATTTTGGGAGGCTGATTGTTAAGGGCCTAGGTAAGGTGACTTAGGTCTCAGCCTAATGAATTACAGGGGTGTGGGACTAAGCTTCAGTCCCAGCATTTGGAGAAATAGAATATATGTGTGTACATATGTATGTATGTATATATCAGGAAACCCAAATGTTTATCCCATTTGGGGAGGAAGAAGATGAGCTGTGAGATGGGCAGACCAGAGTTCAAATTTCAGCTTAGTGATCTTGGGCAGGCCTGGAATCCTCTCTGCCTCAATTTTCTTATCTATAACATAGGCATTCCTAACTCCTAGTTCTGGAGGTCTGGGTCTTAAGGATAAAATGAGATGCTAATTATGCAGTGCTAAGCATAGATCCTCAGACCTGGGCAAGTCAGTGTTTAAAAACCCATAGCTAGTCGTGATTATGTTTGTAGCTTGGTTAACTCTGGGCTTGGAGGGGTTCCTCCAAGCACACATGTCCCAGGGCGACAGGGCCTGCCGGCCTGCCGGCCTGCCTTCCTCGGCCTGCCTCTATCTATTTTGGGATGGGGACCTGGGTGGGGCTTAGGCTGCAGGTGAGCAGGGTTGGTCTCAGCTTCTGTGACTGAGCAGAACTCAGGAAAGTCTCAGCCAACCCAGAGGACATGACATCTGAGGGGAGCCCCAGGGATGCGTGGAATTTCCATCAGGTGAGAAGGGAGGATGAGGCATTCTCGGCAGAGGGCCTCTTAGGAACCGAGGCCTAGAGGTCTGAAGGTATCTGGGCAGGACCCCTCTGCTTCCTCCTGACTCTGACCCCAGCACCTTCTGCCATGCAGGACTCAGTAAGTGCTGGGGCAGTTTACTCACAAACTTCATGCTCTCTTTCTTTCTTGCAGAATGTGATGGTGGTTCCAAAGCTGTGGTGAATGGCTTGGCACCTGGCAGCAATGGTCAAGACAAAGGTAAGGTTCTTGGAGAGAAGTCTGGATTGGTACTGGAAAGCATTTCTAAAGGTGTGGAGTATGTCAGGCCGGGGCCATCCCATCTGCCTGGTGTGAACACCATTGGCCTAACCAAGCCCTAAACTGGGGACCTGTTCCCTACACTGATTTGCTGAGACCTGGAGCCTGTTCTTGCATTTCGGGAGTCTGAGGCTGCCATTTTCCCACTGTGAGGTATTAAAAACTATCCCTAGCACACAAGGATGCTGTGAATGACAGATCAGGCACATGGACCAATGCATACTTCATGCCTGGTACAGATGGCATTTATCAGCTTGAAATATCCCTTGCTCAGCCTTTCACCTTCACCTATAATAAACAGTGATGTGTTCACAGTCCTGACCCTAAGGTAAGAGCCTAAATCATTAAAATAAATTATTTCGGTGGCATTAATTTAATGCACATCCTGTCATAGTTTCAGTTTTTAAAAATTTTAGGATAAAAGATTTAAATGTGAAATGAATGATGGATGTGATGAATGACCTTTGAGGTCCTGCTTGGCCTGGAGACTTTCATCCTGACCTCAGTGTGGCTGTGCAGATAGCCTGGCTACGGGGCTCGCGGTGCCACTTTTACTGAGTGGTGTGATGGACCCTCAAGCTGGAATGACAAGGCATGGGTTCAAGTCCCAGCTCTGCCACCATGAACAGGACATCTTGAGAGGCCCTTTATCTTTGTGGGTGTGGGTTCCCTTATCTACAAGATGAGGGAATTTATGCTCTGCCATATTTATTTCTGCTTCAAATTCAGAATTGGAATGAATGCTCATCCAGCTAAATTTTATGGTATACAAGAGGAAGAGCCAGAATACTCGCATTGGGCATTTGAGTCAAGATGCATCTCAAAGAATAATTTCAAACAATTTGGCATTTTGATCTGTGTAATTTCCATCTGGGTCAACAGAGTGTTTCTTTTAAGACAAGGCAAAGTGTGAACTAAGAGGAACCAGCCGTAGAGGGTATGTCCAGAGACTAGGAGGGGCTGGGGTACAGGGCCCAGGTGGTGTGGAGGTGTGTTCCTTGGTGGCCGGAGGGGACCTGCCATGCTCCTGTTCTTGCCTCCCTGCCTGGTCGCCCGTCTGCACCCATGGTGTGGGGCCCTGGACAGTCTCGACCAAGTTGCACTTAGGGAACTCTGAGGGGCAGTGCCTGTGGAGTGGCTGCAGGCGTGTGTTTAGCATCCAGTGAGGAGCATGGAGAGGGGTGGGGGCCCTATTAGTTTAAAACCTGTGGAGTCATCGACCCCATCCATGTGCACTCATTTATACAAGAGACTTAAGGCATGTGGGGGAGGGTGGCAGGTGGAGTGGGTCCCATTCTCTCCTTGGTGAGACTCACCTTTGTCTGCAAACAAGCAGGCAGGGGTGACCTGAAGGGCATCAGAGTGGCCTGAGGTCACTGAACCAGAGCTGGGATAGCCGAGCTCCAGTCTCAGCCTCTCTGCTTGAGAACTGAATGAGCCTGAGCAGTTCGCTGAGCCTCTTGCTTCTTCCTCTGAAAATGGTTACAAAAGTCTCCCCCAAGCCCATCTCCCAGGTGGAGCAGACAGGAAGATGCTGTGAGAGCACATGTGTGTCTTAATCCATGCAGTAGCATCGTTAGCAACCTAGTCATTAATGACCAGGCGCCGTGTGACTGCCTCATGCCTCAGGAGGTGAGCTGACAGCAGGATGGACTGGAAGGCGCACTGTCCCTGGCCGACATGCCTCCCTTCTGTTGCCTTGACAGGCTCACCAGTGCTGACTCTGCAGTGGTGGTCTTGTTCCCAGACAGCCCCACCCGCTGTGTTTCTGTAGATATGCGGCCACAGTTGACTCTGGCACCTTCACACAGAGCTCCCATCCCTCTTTATGTGCTGCCCTTAAAGGAGAGGATGAGGGGAGGCCTCACAACAGGCTCAGTGTAAGGAGAGTTAGGGGACGTGCCTACCATGAGATTACAGAATCTGGGCAGGCAGGGAGCCCAGAGACCCTGCCGATAGATAAGTTTGAGCACCCAGGATGTTTGAGCGGTGGCCTTCACTGTGTCCCAGGCAGGCATCCCTGCTCTGTCTTAGCTCAGCCGGGTATCGGGGTCCTGGACTGTGCACTTGGGTGCTGCCCCAGAGACTACATATGCACTTGGACACTTGGCACCTCCTGACCAGGAAAGGGTGGGTTTGAGCAAGGCCATCTGCTGTTTAACAGATGGAGGTTCTGATTTGCTTGGGGCCAGAGGGCTACAATTGTCGGAGCAGGCACAAGACCCCAGAAGTTATGCTATGGCGGAAGTAGCTCTGATGGCTGAAGGGACCAGGCAACTCACGATCTTGTTCCTTCGTTCTTGCACTCATCTGCAGCCCATGGGCCACCGCCCTCCTCCTCAGAACCCCCTCCCCAGCATGCTCCCAGGAGGCCCTGTGGACCCTGAGTGCTCTCCCCTTCCTCTGTTTGCCAGGCCATCTGTGTGCCTCCGTAAATCTTTGTCCAGAGCCTTGGCAAGCTCCTGGTGTGGCAGGAGGCACCGATCAACACTGACCAGCTGTATTTGGGTGATGGTTGGAGGGGAGGGGTCTGTTGTCTTGGCCTAGAACTCTAAAGAGAGAAAGCAGGTTATTTTTAATTACTGCATCTACTGCCCTTTGTATTGTTCTTGTTGTGTGGGCGACTTCCTCCTATTGTCCCTGCCCAGTTCCTCAACTGCCTGAGTGTTTCCCAAATGTTCTTTCTGGATGCACCATTTACCCTTTTGTGTTTTCAGCAACTGCCGACCCTTTACGTGCACGCTCTATTTCTGCTGTTAAAATCATTCCTGTGAAGACAGTGAAAAACGCCCCAGGCCTAGTTCTCCCTACAGGTATCTCCTTGGGTCGGTTTATTTTCTGTAATTGTGAGCGGATCATGGCATGGTTTTCCTTTCTTCTTTTCTTCTAACACGCACTTTGAGCTGAATCGTTGCATGTTTAGTAGGCGTTCCATCTCACTTCCTCAGCTTGCTTCCTTACTTCCTCTGCGTACGTGAATGTCTGTGTGCGTTTTCCTGGGAGCCAGCGAATGTGGGGAAGAACTGAGGACAGAGGGCTCGCCCCTCTTTTCTTTAGGAGAAGGGTCAGTCTGGAGGCTCAGCTTTCCCTTTGGGACGAGTCTGAGGTGCATGGACATCCTAGGCTCTCCCTAGAGGTTTCCAACTCCCAGTACTTTAGCAAAAACTGCAGTCTCCCTGAGAATTAACCTGGTGTCACAGAGAACCTCTGAACGACTGAATTTGAAGCAGCTGCCTTAGGTGCCCAACCTAGACTTGCCTCTGATGCTCACCGGGCCATCCCAGAGCATCCCCTGTGCCTTCCCCAATTTTACCTGCAGCCCCTTCCTGCCTCTCCCCTCCAGGGGGTGGGGGAGTACGGTTCAGATGTCAGCTCCGGCTCATCGCTTCCTTCTGTACAAAGTGGGACACACGAGGCCTACACAGTACTTTATCCAATGGTGCTTTCAGAAGTAACTGGGCTGTGTGTCCAGGAACCTATGGATGGGCTGCATCCATCAGTGTGCCCCTCATCCTTTTGAAGTGACTGTGAACCAGTTTTCCCAATAGTTTGGTGACATCAGTCACTTAGCCTCTTGATAGAGTTGGATAAGTCAGATGCTCTCCAAGGCTGACACTTGCCCTGCCACACATTGTGCGTTTTGTGCATTGCGTTCAATACAAGAGGTGCTGACGAGGCAGGTCCATTCTCTTGTCTAACGTTAATGATCATTCTCCCTGAGTTGTTGGAAGTGGGCTGCTGGTGTGGAAAGCAAGGAGGGAAGAGGCTTTGCTTCTCTCTGCCCTCGGACAGGAATGGGGATGAGTCGGGTGTCTGAACTCACATCCTGCCCAAACGCACACCCTGAACATCAACCTGTAATCCTAATTGTGACAATTTTAGGTCAGGGATCTAGGCTGTGAGCAGTCTGAAAACGAAACAAAACTGTGGCGTTCTGCATAGCTCAGCTGCACAAAAAGAAACACTCCGTGCGTGTGCCTCCCAGAACTGTGTGGTCTGCCCCGGTTCCCTGCCTCCGTGACTGATTTCCTGCAGGATGGCATTCAGATCTTTTGAAGCGTATTTTGAAATCTTTCTCAAGGAAACTCTCGAAGTTGACCCGCGTCTGTTATTAGGCCCTAGTGAAACTGTAGGAGACACCAGGACCCTGTGAAGACAGCTGAGGCTCGGTGGACACTGCTCATTGAAGGATTTAGCCTTCCAGGTCGTTTTTGTTGCTGTGCGTTTTCTTTGTTATGTTTGAAAAGTGAGGCTGTCACTCATGAGCTTTCTTGCCAGGTAGCATATCCTTCTGTCTCAGCATTTTGGGAGTCTTGACTTGCTAATCCAAGGAGATTTGCTTTTCCTTTTCCCACTGGAAAACTGCAAGGAGTAGTTGTTCTCCATGAAACTGCCCCCGCACCCCCCCGCAACTTCCTTAGTTGCCAACTTGGTCTTCGATGAGAAGAATGGTCTGGAAGCTTGAAACATCTTTCATAAACTCTTTCTTGAACTGTGCCTTACTAACTGGTCAGAAGTCTGCTCACCAACCTAAACTTCATTTAATAAAAGGAATAAACCTGCTTTCATTTTGAAATGTTTTCAGCTGATATTATAACTCATCCATTTACTCAGAACTCACCATTGCCGCCATGTTCCCCTAACTTCCTGATGCACAGTAAACCTCTGAAAACTTGCCCCTCTCCACCACCCACAGATTAATTTCATTGACCACAAGTGTTCAAAGACTTCGCGTGGCTGTAACCGGGTTCATCTCATTCCCCAGCTGTAACAATTTGCTAACCAACTGTCCTTTAATCCTTCAGGAGTCTTGGATTCAGTCTTCAATTTTGGACCTTTTCTTTTCAGACATGGATCCTACAAAAATCTGCACTGGGAAGGGAGCGGTGACTCTCCGGGCCTCGTCTTCCTACAGGGAAACCCCAAGCAGTAGCCCTGTGAGCCCTCAGGAAACCCCGCAACACGAAAGCAAACCAGGTGCGCTGAGGCTGGGGAAGATGTTCAGAGCCACGTGGGAAGGGCGGGAGGAGGCTCTGGTGTTTTTGCTCAGGAGGGTGTGAGTTCATCAGATAACTCTGGGTTCTCTTAGGGACCCCTGGGACAGTCAGCTCCTTTGGATGGGTAGTGGTCAAAGCTTCAAACTGACAGTCATGTGCTGCGGGTGAAGGCACCGCAATAACCACCACTTTATGTTAGCTTTGACTGAGCAGGTCATCCTGTGACAAGAGCCAGTACTCTGCAGACTGCACTCAAGCAGACTGAAATAGCTTAGGGCATAGGGGATAAGCAGTGGGATGGGCTAGAGGTTGGGCTTCTTAGAGCTCATCCCTGCTTCCTAGAGGTTCACTGTGACCTGTCCAGGCTGGGCTGGAGGTGCAGCTAGGGGAGACTGAGAAGTGTGGATGACTCGATGACCTTGCTCCCGGAAAAGCAGAGGTGGGCAGGGCTCAGGCCTGAGATGATCACCAGCCAGCTGCAGGAGCAGGATCAGGAGAGTAGTTCAAAGGCCCAGTGTAAACTAGGAACAAAGGGAGATCAAAGAAGCCACATGAAGCCCATCTCCCCACCTTAACCCATCACTTGGGAAATCTGAGGTATTGAGTTTTAGAATTGGGACTTCAGAACCCGACAGATCTCTGTGCACACCCTGCCCCCACCACCTGTCGGCTGTGCGACTTTGGTCAAGTTATTCACTCTCTCTCAACCCTAATGAACTGTAGAATGGGGTGGATAATAGCACCTGCCTCATAGGATTATTGTGAGGAAGAAGTGTATGAAGTGCTGTGTACCATGCCTGGTGGCATGGAATAGACTGTTAGATGTTAGCTGCTATTTGATTATCATTAGATTATTTTGGCCTCTCCAGAGACGACTTTGCACAGCCCAAGTATTCTGGGAGTTGGCAAACGCTGACTTTGAGATCAGGCACAGTTAGTTTAGGGTGAGACAGCACCTCTCCACTCTGTAGGGCAGTGGCTTTCACGCTTTAGCTGCATCAGAATCACTTGGAGTAAAAAGGTAGGTTGCTGGGCCCCAGCCTGGAGTTGTAGAATGTAGGGTTCCCGCTTGCAGGTCTGAGATAGGGTCTGAAGGTTCGCGTTTCTGACAGGTTCTTAGGTCATGCTGATGCAGCTAGTGCAAGGACCGCATCTGAGAGCTGCTGCTGTAGGGGACGGGAGCTTGCTTTCTTGAAGGAAAGGGAGGGAGAAATTGAATGGAGGGGAGGACCACTCCCTTGGGACCAGAGAAGATAGGCAGTAGGGTACACAGATCCCTCTGGGGCAGCGAGAGTGGTGTGTTGTGATAAGACAGATATGATATGTAGGATGGAAATGGCCAGACCTAGCATCCTGGAAGCTGACTTTCTTCCTGCCCAGCCACCCATAACAGGTGCTGGGTCACATGCTGGCGGATGAGGCCAGGCTAGGGTTTGAGCACAAACCCCTTTCTGGTGATGTTGGTCCCTGTGAGGGCTTCTTTATCCTTAGACTGACAGCAGGCCCGAGCAGCCCACAGCCCTGAAAGTCAACAGAGTAGCTTCTTGGTCCTGCATCCCTGAGTCCAGCCCTGATTCCTAACCCACTGGAAAGGTGGGGTTGAGGAGAGAAGGCAAAGTTATTTTATTCTAAGGCTAACCTCATCCAGCCTCTCCAAGCCTAACTGGGAAGTCCCAGCTCCCAAGCTAGAGAACGTTTGGAGAAAAGAGAATCCTAAGGGATGATGCAAAGAGAAAGGCCTTATGTGCAGTCAAATGACCTTACAAACCGGCTGTCCCATCCTCTGGCAGTAAATGGAGGTGGTGGAGAGGGAGCCTGGAGCTCCCTCTAGTGGTTACAGTATGGCATTGACGCAGAACACAAATATGCCTACCAGGTGCACGCCTGTGCTACCAGTACCTTGTGTGGATTTGTTTTTTCTTTTCTTTTCTTTTGTTTTTTTGACAGGGTCTCACTCTGTTGCCCAGCCTGGAGTACAGTGATGCAATCATTGCTCGCTGCAGCCTCGACCTCCCAGGCTCAATCTGTCCTCCCACCTCAGCCTCCCAAGTAGCTGAGGTGCACGCCACCACACTTGGCTAATTTTTATATTTTTTGTAGAGACAGAGTTTCTCCATGTTGCCCAGGCTGGTGTTGAACTTGTAGGCTCAAGTGATTCACCTGCCTCGGCCTGGCAAAGTGCTGGGATTACAGGTGTGAACCACCCTGCCCGGCCCTGTGTGTGGATTTGAGGCACTTTTGGAAACACTCTCGTGTCCCAAAATACGTTTGTGTCTCACAAATTTCTACCAACTAATGTGGTGAAAAGAAACTTCACCAAATCTTTTTCACCAAACCATCACCAGATTGTTTTAAAATGCAAATACTATACTCGGAAGAATTAAGGGATAGCTATCAGTCATTCACACCTTACAGTGAGTTCATCTTTGTAAATTGAGATCATCGAATCCGAATAAGCATACATTCATTCAGCATTATCTATGTGCCAGGTGCTGAGTTAGTCACTTGGAATTGTGATGAGAAAGGAGGAAAAGAGAGCAATTCTAGGTGCATTAGGTGAGGGCAAAAGGCAGTATGTTGCAACAGGAGTCAGGTGTGGACTTGTAGTCAGCCATCTTGCTTTCGGGCTGTGGTTAAGTCCTAGTGTCTTTGAGCTTATATCAAGTATGAGGAACTTGGGCCAGATGCTTTCCAAGCCTTACTAGCTCCAGAATGCTCTGTGACCTTAGGAAGTTTGGAAGTTAGCCTGACACAAATGGAATCCTTTTGATTGGTGATAAATTTAAGATGGTACAGGAGGGCAGTTTGTATGAAAAGGAACAAGCTGGGTTTGAGTAGAGGAAACAAAAAAACCCCACATGCTCATTGATGCGTACGAAGCAGGCTAGAATGGGTTAACACTGGGGAGTGGGCTTAAAAGAGGATGTCAGTAAGCTGGGCACAGTGGCTCACACCTGTAATCCCAGCACTTTGGGAGGCTGAGGTGGGCGGATCACTTGAGGTCAGAAGTTCAAGACCAGCCTGGCCAACATGGTGAAACCCCATCTCTACTAAAAATACAAAAATCAGCCAAGCATGGTGGTGCATGCCTGTAATCCCAGCTACTTGGGAGGCTGAGGCAGAAGAATTGCTTGAACCTAGGAGGCAAAGTTGCAGTGAGTGAGATCACGCCACTGCACTCCAACCTGGAAGACAGAGCACGATTCTATCTCAAAAAGAAAAAAAAAAAAAGAGAGAATGTGAATATAGACAATTCAGGAATGGAAATCTTGTCCCCTTACTATGCTACCTATTGGCTAGCATCCTGCTGGCTCTTGACTCTAACAGTGTCCATGTCAACCTCCAGATTGACAACTTGCTGGCCTGTATCAGTCTATTATCCCATCCTGGGGCCTGGGAGCTCCTGGGCCTTCCCTGGCTTCATTATAACAGTTTTCAGCAGTATTTGCAGACAGCCATGCCCAGTCTGGACTGGGAGCCCAAGTGTGAGGCGGTGGATGGCTCTTGCCAAGGATTGCTTCCTACTCCCAATGCCTTTGCAGATAGCTAATGTCAGATGGCGTCTGGCTCCCTCCTTTCTCACCAGGGACAGCATTTGTCCCCCAGCTGCTCTCTCTGCTTCCTCACTGACTTGCTCCCTGTTTGCTACCTTCTTCAATGCCTATAGGTGTCCAGGTTGCTGATTATTTGCCTGGACTGGAAGCTTTAGTCCCTACCTGGCCCTCTGATACCCACATTTCAGCAGTGCCCCCTATTTCTAGTCCTTGTCCCAACCCCCTCACCTGGGAGAGTTGATATAGTTTTGGTTTCACACAGTTCTCTACTGAGGCTGAGCACTGCCACTTACTGTCTTTGTGATATGGACAAATTACTCCACCTTACAGGGCTTCAGTTGCCTTATTTATAAATTGGAGATGACCATAACAGAGTTGTTGAGATTAAATGAGCTCTTTTTTTTTTTT